TTTTCATCTCAAGACTTACAAAAGCTACGGGGCTGAAATTTTGGGGACTTAATCTACATGCACGTATGGGCCCCAACCCCCAAAATTGGCGCCATACCCCGCGTGGTACCCGCGTACGGGCCCCCCAAAGTTTTTTCCGAGTAAGTTCATAAGTCGGGGATCTGAAAAGCTAGAAAGCTGAAATTTCAAGGGATTGTTCCCCGTCCAAGTAGGTACTAATAAGCTCATATCCAGCCCCCGGGTAAGCGTGGTACCCGCGTATGGGCCCCCTAAATTTTTCCCGCGCAAATTCATAACTCGGGGTTCTGAGATGCTGGAAAGCTGAAATTTTAGGGGCAAATGCTAATGGGCTCAAACCCAGCCCCCGGGTAGGCGTGGTACCCGCGTATGGGCCACCCAAAATTTCCCGCGCAAATTCATAACTCGGGGTTCTGAGATGCTAGAAAGCTGAAATTTTAGGGGAACGTTTCTCGCGCAAATTCATAACTCGGGGTTCTGAGGTGCTAGAAAGCTGAAATTTTAGGGGAATGTTCCCCGCCGCAAATTCATAACTCGGGGTTCTGAGATGCTAGAAAGCTGGAATTTTAGGGGAACGTTCCCCGTCTAAGCAAATTCATAGTACGGGGTTCTGAGGTGCTAGAAAGCTGAAATTTTAGGGGAATGTTCCCCGCCCGCGAATTCATAACTCGGGGTTCTGAGATGCTAGAAAGCTGAAATTTTAGGGGAATGTTCCCCGTCCAAGCGTGTGCTAATGGGCTCAAATACTGCCCCCGGGTAAGCGTGGTGCCCACGTACGGGCCCCCCAAATTTTTTCCCGCGCAAATTCATAAATCGGGGTTCTGAGGTGCTAGAAAGCTGAAATTTTAGGGGAATGTTCTCCGTCCAACTAGGTGCATCCATCCCTTGGGTAAGCGTGGTACCCGCGTGCGAGCTTGTCAAAATTTTTTTCGGGTAAGTCCATTAACTCGGAGATCTGTGAGCTAGAGAGCTGAAATCTTAGGGGGTGTTCCCTGTCCAAGTGGGTATTAACGAGTTCAAACCCTGCTCGCGGGTAAGCGT